GGGGGGGGGGGGGATGAAAGAAAGCCAGAGGGACAGGCAGGGTGGAAGATGGGCCTTCTCTCCATTGTCTGTTTCTCTGAGACATCTGTGGAGAGAGAGACTTGGAAACGCTTCAACCCCAACGTGACCATTGGTAGCCATCAGCAACTTGGTTCTGACACACAGGTGGGGAGACGCTTGCCGGCATCATGAACGTTATAGAAATTGCACTGGATTTTTGTTTGGGCTTACACAGGAGAGCCCCACTACTCTTCTTGTGTGAAGGGCTGGTTGGGGGGCAATTCTCCCATCTGAGTTCCTTGCCTGTGATTCCCTCAGCCTCACACATCTCTCCCAGGAGACACAATCTGCCAAGGTTGTCCTGGACAACGGGGGTCGTTAATGAAGAGCAATGGGGGTGGCCGAGGCAGGGTGATTCCAAAGTCACCATAAATCCTTTGCCTACTGATTTTCAGCCTGTGGCCCAGCCAGTGCCTGCGCTGTGCTCATTAGTGACAGAGAGGTAACCCTCCATCCATCCCGCCAAGTCCTGGATGCCAAAGAGACACTGATAAGTGCTGCTGGAGACACTGGCACGGCGGCGAGGGAAGGAGCCCATACGTCCCCGCCTCTGCGGTCACCCTGGAGTCCGACCCACGGGAAGGGCAGAGCAGCGTGGGCTGCTGTGCTGCTGGTGGGGAGGCCAGGACGCCAGACAGCAAGCGTCTCGGGCCTGCTGCTGGCTGGCCACGGGCCCAGGCTATGCCCTTTCTTCCTTGAGTGTCAGGCTCTTGTGCATATGTGCTCACCCACCCATTGCTGGGGGAGGGTAGGAGCAATGAGGGAAAGTGGTGCTGAGGAGCAGTGATAGAACCACGGAACAGAGCGATGTCATTGTCATCCCGAGAGGTGGCCGCAGGCATCCGCTGTGGGCAGACAGAGCCCTCTCAGAGTGCGTCAGCTTGGGGGCCACTGGGATGGGCTGGAGGCAGGGCATGGGCTCTGACCCCATGATGTTGAGCTGTGTCCTCACAGTGAGTGCCCTGGTGCTGCTTCTGCCCGTGGGCCTGGCTCTAAGATTCAGAGTCCGCATCTGCAAAGGATGGGATTTAGACCCATAGTCAAACCCGGTAGGTCTCCCCCTTCCAGCCCTAGGGATCTGTGTTCGGATTTATCCAAACTCTAAGGCTGAAAGAATAAATCCGAGGTACAGGGAAGTAAAATCACATCTCCCATAGGCACTGGTCTGCTCAAGGAATCAGAAGGTCTCGTGCAATTCAATGGTCTCCAGGTGTCCGTGAAGGAGAATGCAGCTGTGTCCCACTGACAGGTTCAAAGGCAGGCTTGGGACCCAGGGGACACTGTGTGGTTAAGGAGGCTGCCCTTGAAACATGAGGCACTTTTGTGTCCCTCGCTAGCCCTGCATTGGCGACTACCATCTAGACCTGGCATTTATAGAGGAATCTCCTCCTGGCTGCTGGAGTCGTTTCTAATTAGAAATAGATCATCTTGGTGCCATGTCCTGAATTTGTCTCCTCTTGGAGCCCAAATACCATCAACCCAATTATCTCTGTTAATGGAGAGGAACAAGGGTGTGAATAATCCAAGATGATGGACGTCCTAAAATAATGAATAATTTTAAGTAACATTTATTTTCAACTTTGGAACACATTTGGATATTCATGCC